AAGATCACACTACAATGCCAATAAAGAACACTTAAGTGGACATTGAGGTGTTCCACACAGACATGTGATGACGGACACTACTGTGGTTATGAACAGCAATCACATCATAGTCTCTTTTCAAGTAAATTTTGAAGAGATTAGCATCAAAAATAGTGAAAGCGTGCATGTGCCGTAGGATCAAAGGATTTAAATTCCAAACTGATGTTGCAATGACATGCTTCAGGTGTCGATTGGATTTGAATTCACTCTGACTTAGCAATAATGCACGTTTACTGTTTCCGGTGTCAATTTTTAATTTATCTCTTGATTTCCTTAGCAATAATGCACAAATACTGACGTCCATAATATAAACGTCACCATTCTTGAGCTAAACCAGTGTTTCTTGTGCTCATGAGGAAGCTGTCTTAACCAATCCTTAAATTACTTTATTTCAAGAGAATTTTCTTTAAGAAGTAATTTCAAAATTCTTTCTTTTTACAGCAATGTCTAGTTAACTTCAAATATGTCAACTGGGTCATGTCAACAACCATATATATGATATTTATTTATTCTGAGTTTCAACTTTAGAAAGCAAGTGTACTGAAGAATCACATAAAATGTCCAAGTAAGTATGACTAATCTAATATTGATGAGCAAACATTCATTAAGTTCATAGATTCACAAGTACCAATAGTTAGTGAATAATAGGACAAGCTTAGATTTGTAAACCTCATTACCAATTAGAATATTTGTTATTATAACAACTGCAGAAGGACTAGTATATTTCTTGAAGTTAGTATCCAAGTGAATCAAAATTATGGTATGTTCCATAAAGGTAGTTTCAGAATATATATTATTTCAAAATGGGTGCAGAGATGGACAGCAAGAGATGGTTGTCCAAGACTCCACCATGTAACTATACTTTTAAGTCTGTGATGATGGTGCTCAATGTACAGAAAACTATTATCGAGACACTTAATCACTTTAGTGTGCAAATGTTAGTACCAAAGTTACAATACTACCCACAGAGATCTCTGAAGCTATGTTTAATATCAGGAGTTCACAATACTTATCGCACAGGAAACTTTCAGTAAAGGTATCCCAGACCATGCAATACTATGACCCAGAAGAAAACAGTCTCAGAGATCCTACCCGTCCATGTCTCCTTACACTGATGGAGGAGTTGCCCAGTTTGCGCAAAGTGGACTGAATCAAATTCTGTGTGTATTGAAAAAATAATGATATACATACTCATGACAGGAAGCACAAACACTGATATTCTTAAACTGCTTGTGTGGCTGACAGCATATCTCTTTACATGAACAAAAGACATATGGAAAAAATTAACTTAACTTTGCATCATACCAAAAAATAACAATCTGTAGAGTTCCTCTTTTCAAATGAATTGAGAGCTCAAACATAATCATGCACCTTGAAGAGCCATAAGGTCTGGCAATATTAGACATATGGCTGTGTATATTAATGAGCCAAGTACCAGTCTCCTATAAAGTCTTGTGGATGCACTTGTGTGCTACCTGCCAAGCTGCAAGGCTGACCATTTATATAATCTTTGCTAATTTATTTGCCAAAAGTCAGCATTTTTAAGAATAAAGCATGCAAAAACTGGATATCACTTTGAATATTGTCTCTCTGTACAGAGCAACATCAAAATTAATGCTAATCCCATTCTCACATAAATTACTCTGGGATCATCTATGGTTTCCCATATAAATAGCCTATTCTTGCAGAATTTCTTAAACTTTAACATAGCAAAATCCTTGAACAGCTAGCAACGCTCTTCTTTAAGGAATAATATGTACTGCAATCTATTATAACTTTTATCCTGACAAAGTCACAATGTAAATCTTCTCAAACATATTCTAGTCCAGGGGTGTCAAACTCATGCCCTTAGGATGGTCACAACTAATAATTAGCATATCAATTTAAAATGGTCATGAAGGAAAATAATATATGATTAAGAGATGAATATTTATTGATAATATCTATTCAATAAAGGGAATAGTTTTAATTTATATTGCCATTGTTAGCAATACTAGTATTATAGAGGACAGAGGTACATACTATCAAAGATGAAAATAATTAAACACGCAAGTTGCATGGAAGTTTATATTCCGCACGAATATGATATCATAACAAAGTAGAGCTCTTATGCTTTGAAAATGAAAAGAAAATTGTACAGTAAACTGTAGCAACCCATTTCTAATGCATACACATGTATATACATTTTGTTACTACTACTGTCACCATCTAAAATTCAATAAGTAAAATAAACCCCATAAACAGACACTTAATATTGTACAGGTTTTTACAATGTAATCCTGGAAAGCCGGGCATGCTCCTTTGTTGGCCCTCAAAATGGTAGCTAAAGTAAAATTGGATTTTCAAGGATTTTTAATTTGACACCCCTGATGTAGTTGTTCCTCCATACAGTCCTTTATAAATTCTGTCAAAAGATCTACCAACTATATAGAAATCGCTTTATGTACTTGTACCTTCAAAAATGTATATTCTTGAATTTACTACAAAAAAATTGGTCTCGAGCAGAGAACAACTAACAGACAGCAAAATATCAAATGCATGACACAAAAAAGGACCTAGACAACTTGTGTACCCCATCTCTCATTTAAAAATGCATAACTACTTTCTCCTAAAATCAGCTTTTCTATTGGTTCTTCTTCATATATCTAACTAGCAAAAATGACTACAACAAAATGACGATAGCATAGAATAAATCAAATACCATTTAAAATTGGAATTATAAAGAAACCATGATATATATATTTGCTCATACAAACCACCTGATAAAAAACAAAAATGTAGAGGAGAACACTGGTTTTCAAAAAAGTATCGGTTTTCAACAATCAACACAAAGTACATAAATTCCATTAAGGAAATGTGCTTGAAAAATTCTAAACATTAATCAGTGATACACCATAAAGGTTAATCCATTTATTAGATATGAAGCGAACACCTAAACATTTAAAACAATATGAAGAGAGAATGGTAAACATATTAGGTCAGACTGGCTGGGCCCAGGTGGTCACAACGGCCGGCTCAGCTGTCATTTAGGACTGAACAACCTATTCTCTACAAACTACAATGTAACAAATAAATTAGATAACACAGAACTTTTTTAAAACAATTTTATGATCATCCTTTACTTGCAAATAAATTACAATAAAAATAGCTAATAATGTTCATCTATAGAAAATATAAATAAGTAAATAAATAAAGTAGAACCCTTGAATATCAAAGATTGGTTTACTTACCAGTGATATGTGAAAAGAATACTATTAAATTCAGCTTTATATATTACTTACAGTATATTAGGTGACATTACATATGTATATATATATTATAATATATATATATATATATATAATATATATATATATATATATATATATAATAATTAAATATATTATATAATGTATAATATAGATTATATTATATATATATATATATAATATATATTGATTATAATAATATAATATAATATATATATTATATTATAAATATATTATTATATATATATATATATTATATATATATATAATATATCTATAATATATATATCCACAATATTATATATATATAATAGTATATATATATATATATCATATATACGAAATAATATAATATTATAATTTAATATAATATATAATCCTATATATATGCTTTTTATATATTATATTATTTATATATATATATCCTATATATATATATATATATATATATATTATATCTTAATATATACTATACTACTGATATATAATATCACTATGATATATATATTATCATATTTATATATATATATATATATATATATATAATATTTATATTATATATATATATATATATACTATATATACTATCTATGATATATATATATATATATATATATATATATATATATATATATATATATTTATATATATATATCATATATATATCTATTATATATCCACAATTACATATGCCATAATTTCAAATCGAAAAATAACATGTAAAAGAAAAAAGAAAATAAAAAATCCTCTATGCTTTTTGTATTTTTCACATCCTGAGTTTTAAACCTAAATTCTAGCCTTATCTGACAGAATCACAAGGCAGTTAGACAGCACTGTGCTTCCTCTATAAACTTTCAACTGCTCTTTCACGGATCAAATTTCAGACGTTATAGTCCCGGCCGATTTCCAAGATTTGCGGTTAATAGGTGCGCTTATCGAGGATCAAGCAAGGGATCGTGAAAATCAGAAGCAAGAACCTTAATGCATGATTATAGCTCTCAAGTCAAGAGAAAAGCAGTTCATTATCATTAGCAATTCATACACTCAACTAATATTAGCAATCAAATGAACGGATAAGCTATTTGATTTCTATATATTTCTTCTCTAGCTTCCTGGCAATGAAATGGGTATTCGCTCTGACATAATCAGTCGTATCAGATTTTTTAAAGTAACTTTTGCAGACTGTCACATCACTGGCACAATATGAGATGGGTAATCATAGTGCACTTTGTGAGTGAGTGGGAGTGTGTGTGTGTTGTGTAAATGTGGGGGTGGGGTTATGAGGGAACTGGGGGATGGTTGTGAATGGATATGGGCATACATGTCTGGAGGGGGAGGTTTTGGGTGTAGGTGACATGGTATGATTATTGTATGGGTGGGGTAGTGTACAAATATATATACATATATATATAATATATTATATATATATATATATATATATATATTATAATATATATATATATAGAGAGAGAGGGAGAGAGAGGAGAGAGAGAGAAGAGAGGAGAGAGAGAGAGAGAGAGAGAGAGAGAGAGAGAGAGAGAGAGAGAGAGAGAGAGAGAGAGAGAGAGAGAGAGGAGAGAGAGAGGAGCGAGAGAGAGAGAGAGAGAGAGAGAGAGAGAGAGAGAGAGAGAGAGAGAGAGAGAGAGAGGAGAGAGAGAGAAGAGAGAGAGGAGAAGAGAGAGAAAGAGAGAAAAGAGAGAAGAGAGAGAGTGAGAAGAAGAGGAGAAAGGAGAAAAGAGAGAAAGAGAGAAAGAGATGAGAAAGTGAGAGTGAGTGCATGTGTGTGAGTGAAGTGTGTGTGTGAGTGCATGAGTGAGTGAGTGTGTGATGTGAGTGAGTGAGTGTGCAGTGAGTGAGTGACATGTGTGTGAGTGAGTGCATGTGTGAGTGAGTGCATGTGGTGAGTGTGTGTGTGGAGTGAGTGCATGTGTGTGAGTGCATGTGTGTGAGTGAGTGCATGTGCGTGAGTGAGTGCATGTGTGTGAGTGAGTGTGTGTGTGTGGTGAGTGTGTGTGTGTGTGTGTGTGTGTGTGTGTGTGTGTGTGTGTGTGTGTGTGTGTGTGTGTGTGTGTGTGTGTGTGTGTGTGTGTGTGTGTGTGTGTGTGTGTGTGTGTGTGTGTGTGTGTGTGTGTGTGTGTGTGTGTGTGTGTGTGTGTGTGTGTGTGTGTGTGTGTGTGTGTGTGTGTGTGTGTGTGTGTGTGTGTGCGAGTGTTTGCATGTGTGTGCATTTTCATTGATTACTCTCATTTTGCCCCACTTCAAATCTTTCAATAATCAGCAAGATTGCTATCTTTTGAAGGGCATTTTCTTTAGTGATAAAATCTTTTTATTAGCCAAAAAGGGCCCTTTAACCCGAGAACTATCACACCTTGTTACTGCAACTTTGAGTGCATTTGGAACACACAAAACACCAATGCATTAATTAAAAGACTTGCCAAGCAGTTGTAATCAATCAATGCATTTCAAAACCACATGCTTCATTCTGTCACTATCAACAACATAGGCGGAGCATGAGAAAAAGCCTTGCAAATGTAAAATAAAATCAAAGGTGGGCTCTTCCCGGTAATAACAACCTCAGAAAATTAATTATTGTTGATTAAACTATGCCGTGAAGGGTCTTTTTTTAGTGAAGGAAAACATGCTTTTTCTACTGCTCTTGCACCTATTTCACCATACATTCAGTAGTCCAACACCAGTACACTCTACCAAACAATAGATGTACTGCAACACTTGTGCTCTCCATCGCCAATGCACTTCATTACAAGCTACTGCTCTTTCGTAACTATTCCAGACAAAAGTCTCATTTGCTTTCCAAACATTCATACTTGAGTTTTCCTTCTCATAGAAAAAAAAAAAAAAAAAAAAAAAAAAATTGTACAGTTCTCGGGTTATATTAGAAAAGAGCAAAACACTTGGGAAGGGACATCACACAACACTTTGAACATCATACCCAACATACACCCATGAAAGAGACAGAAAGAACATGATGCACATGCCCTACTTTTTCTTCTTCAAAATATTTCAGAATCAGTGCAAGGACTTTTATTTCCATATTAATAATGAAAATAAAATCCATATGTATATAAAATTTATCACTATCTTTATATATCCTCTCTTTGTAATAATTCAATTCACAGAAGGTTCATTAGAAAAGAAATAATATTTAGCATTAACTACATTGTCTTTACAAGTTTTCATCTTGTCCTTCCTTGCCCCACTTCTTGCAAAAGGCATAAATGTATAAAAATTCAAGGAAACGTGATACATTCAAGAAATCCAAGAATCCATTTGCTCTCCACAACTACCAACAGAAGAAATTAGCTGAATATACCCTTTTTTGCCAGGAAGACAGACAAGACTTATAACTACGAGAAAGGAAGCTCATATTACTGTAACTCCCTTTCCTCTCAGCAGTGTACCATGTCCAAGCTACAGTGAGGCAAGTCACCAGTGTTGCTGTATTGTTTTCTATGTGATAACTTTTCTTTTCTAAAGTAATAATAATACTAAAGCATTAGTATTCATACCTACAAGACAAGTAGTGTAAATCAGTCAAAATATGACTAAATCACTATACTCAGTTTGCTTTTTTAGTTTGAGCCAAAGAAGCACTTGAGAGGTGGGCTTAAATGCAACATATTTCAATTAGTCATTGATTTACAAATAGTTTAAATAACAATCATCATCAACTGGTCACTTTGTCAGACAATCATCATTAGCAACCGATAAATCTGAACCCCACTAGTCCCCAGCCTTTCAAGTGCATTTCTGCTCTGACAAAAGAAACTGGAGTTATAGGCTACCCTCAATTCCAGCTAATAATGAAAACAATAAAAAAAATATACCACACACAAATAAGCAGTTTAATTGCTCACAAAAAAACAAAATGAACAAAGAGAAAAAACAAAACAAAACAAAACAAGACAGTAACATTACCTGATGGTACTGAACAGCTTCTCGTGTTGGAGTCCATTCATCCTGTTGTGTCTCCCACTCACTCACGTGTACCCATGACGAGGAATTCAGCGCTAGTCGTAACATCTGTATACGATCACTTGCATTTACTAAACCCTGAAGAGGAAGACAAATGTATAATTAAACAAATGGATATGAGTACACAAAACCTTAGCATTTGTCTGAACCATTTAGCTGCACAATTAAATTTCTCAGGCATTCCTGTAATGATGTCAATTATCCACTAAACAAATTGAAGTAAGGTTTCTGCTTCTGTAGTATATTTTCAGCATCTCTAATATTTTGGCCAGACATCAACTTTCAGCAGTCAAAAGGTTTAGGAAATATATCAAGGTAGATGTTTTACATTACAGGTAATATCAGAAAGAGAAAAAAATTCACATCTGCCTATCAACTACTGGAATACTGCATAACATTAACAGAACAGCCAAAAACAACAAACCTCCTTCCCATATTTGTCATGGACTGGGGATATCAAGCCCGCTACTACATTATAATTTGTAGTTCTGTGAAGAAAATCCCGTGCAATTTCTGAAAGAAAAGAGATTCAATGACAAAATTACATGATTACCACAATATGTGAATAAAGCTGATAACATTCTATTAGTCTTCTAACTTTTATATAAAAGCATCAAAGAATATACAGAAAAAAAATAATGTAAACAATCATTATCATATACACTACTTCCTTTATTAATATAATTATATATTCTGGTAGCCTTCCACATTACTTGTTTTCACATCACATTCCATGATTAGACATTATCCAGCATTAAGTGGATTGAAAGATAGATGAACACAGTGTACTTTGCAGAAGGTACTCCATCCACAATGTGCTCTTCCCACCACCAACCCTTGAGTCGGACAACGTGAATGTTAGAGAGGCTCTGCTGATTACAGAACAATAAATTTGTAGCAACAATTCCAAGTGTATCAACTTCCTTGAGAGAAAGATTTCCCTTCACGAGTACCAATATGGCACAAATGTAATATCAATTATTAAATTAACCTTTTCATTGACATGCGCTGCCACTCAATTTCTCTAGGTTTTAAGTAACACTTTCAATATTTTTTTATTTCTTTTGATAGTACATGTCCATACAATTATTTGACAATTATGAACTTGATTTTACAATATCATGAGGAAAAAAAGTATTTCCCATTCAAAATTTGTTGTACACCTAGCACTGTGCTTTCAGAAACAAAAAGAAAATATTACATTATATATATATATACTGTGTGTGTGTGTGTGTGTGTGTGTGTGTGTGTGTGTGTGTGTGTGTGTGTGTGTGTGTGTGTGTGTGTGTGTGTGTGTGTGTGTGTGTGTGTGTGTGAGTGAGTGGTGAGTGAGTGAGTGAGTGAGTGAGTGAGTGAGTGAGTGAGTGAGTGAGTGTGTGAGTGAGTGGTGAGTGTGAGTGAGTGTGAGTGTGTGAGTGAGTCGTGCGTGTGTGTGCGTGAGTGTGAGAGATTCAAACTGGGAAAACAAAATGGACAAGTACTATAAACACAAAAAAATACTCTAATGAAAAAGAGCGGAGACTGAGAATGAAGGATTCAAGAGATAATACTTCTTACCAACAATAGAAAATAAAAATAAATATTGAATAGACTATGAATATAAATATATCCCAAAGAGAATGACAGGCCATGTAAAAAGAAAAGAAAAGAAAAAAAATACAAATGAAAAAATACAAAAGCAAAGAACATACATAATTCTTCAATGTAAAAAGAGAACCATCAGTGTTATATATCTATCAAAGAATATACCAACTCAATCGAGTCCTTCGGCACAGGGAATAGCACAAAAAAATGGTCAATACACGCCTAGGATGTTGGCCACTCATGTAACCCATTGCCCGTGTTTTCTGCACCATGATTTCTGTGACGCAACCAGATCCACGGGGTTAATCTTGTATTATCAGAGAAAGATACGACTGAAAGGGGTAAACAATTAGTTTAATCTAACTTTTGCTAACAGATGTGGAACTAAGCAACAATCAAAGGTAATTATACATATATACAATGCAAAATAACTTTTAAATCTGAATAAAAGAAAATACTGAGGAATGCTTACAATGAAGAAATCCTTCAACAAGGAGAATTAACCTATGTGTAAATTGCAATAAATAGACAAGAAGATATTACTGGTACAATATCTATATGAAACCAAATGTGACAAAAATATAGATATACAACAATAGGCCTCCACAAATGTAAACAAAATCGATATACAGCATGGTACTTTACTTGAAATAAAGAAAGAGAGAAAAAAAAAGAAAAAAGAAATCCTTATCTTGACCACTTCTCACTTGATGGCATATATGTGCATACCAAGGCTGTTATGGACAAAGTAGCAGACGGCATTAAACATGACTCTTCCCACGCCGTCGGCTCACTGGACAGAGTGCTTTTCTATGAGAGTAGCGGCATTATTTCTATGGTAGTACTTTTATGCAATGCCACTTAAAGTGAAGGTAAACCTTCAAATATTGGATATTTATTAAAACTGTATCAAAATGCAAGCTTTTAAGTACCTAATGTTATCCAAAAACTACCATATGAGTCAGGTGCAAACAGGAGAAACTGTCAATATACACCAATAAACCTACAATTATGTCCACTTGCCAAATTATTTACCCGTCGTTACTGGGTTAAAACAATCATAAATTTCAGACATTTGGGAATAGCAATTTTTTTAAGAAGTATTTTGATTTGCTAAGTAATTCTGGGCTTTTAAGCTCTGTTTCATCCAATTTTTAACATTCATTCAAATAATTTTCAATGTAATTATGAAAGCACATGTGCACACAAATATGCAAACAAATACACACACACATAAACTCAAAGGACTAGCTTTATGGGATACTGAATAATGTACCAAAACAAATTAATAGATATGCTGACAATGAGACTACACATTCCATAACGTGATAATTATATTAACAGCATTAGTAAATTGGGTTGCCTTTGACCATTTAAGCGATTTACAAAATGTAGAGAAACATATGAATGAGCATGAATATATTTGCAGTGAAAGAGATGTACCTGGCACCTTTCAATCTTCTCTTCATCAAAAATATATACATGAGTGAGATTACAAAACATATATAATAGACATGTGCTGCAGATTAACTTGATATTCATAACATGTCACTCACCACCGAGTTTTGTATCAATAACTGTAGTAGGCATATAGGACAAATTCATATTTCAAGGTAAAAGTACAAGAAACAAGATTGCACTTTTAACATAAATGATTCTTAGGTTTGTAGATTGAACGTAAAGCTGTTATTGTAAATACATATATTGCTTCAGTAGTCTTTTAAAAAGTAGCTTGATTTCCTTCTATCTACATTCCTATTTTTTATCTGTTCTCCAGCTTCCCTACAATGCCTATGTTATCCATCATGTCGACTTAGGGTACCAGAATCCAAATGAATTCTTATGGGTTGCTATATCATTCTATAAACGCTAGCTATCAATCCCTAAAAAATGGCGAAGGTTTGAGCTACAAAGCACAGGAAATATTTTTTTCAAGAATACTAATAGACAGTTATTGCTGCACAAATGGTTCAAATTTACAAGTTTATAGTAAGAATAATTTAATCATTTCTATAAAATGCTTTGTTTCATCCTTTAAGTGTTAAAAAAAAAAGAAAAATTCTATCAAGTATCTCAAAGGGTCATTTGTACTACCTGGATTACAAACAAAAAACAAAAATATAAATGAAATTATCCACTGTACATAACTACTGCTCTTTTAAAAGCATATGAAAAACAGCAGAAATCAAATACATTGGTCGCAGTATAAGTAAAATGGCACGTAGTCCCATAGCGTTGTTTATTTTACACTAGTGTGGAGCAGAAGACCGCACAGGAGAGCGCCCTCTATGCCGGTGCTGCTTTCCCTCCTTGGCATATTTATGTTTGTGTATGTATATATAAACCCTTGCAGATACATGCAAGCATGCAATCATATCTAAATGCGCTCAGAGAGAATGGAGGGGCTGGCCATACAGGCATCAAAGCCATGCAACTCCTTTGGTGGGCAACTTCCCCTCGCCCAAGCAGGCTCGGGCAGCAGGCCACAAGGGGGCCAGCCCCTTGGCAGTTGACATCCCCTCACTCATGCAGCTCTCTGGTCGCGCAGCTGCCTGCTGTTTCATGGGTTCAGCCCTCTATGGCACTTTACATCAAATCATGCCATCCGCAAGCAATGGGTTAATCTTTACGGTATTGACACATCAAGGTATGGCTAATTGAGGATGGTTTTCTTGTAGAGGACTTAAAGTTATAGTTGTTTTTACAAGAATTAATCAGCAGACATGAGGAGGTAACACCACAAGGAGAGGAAAATAGACAGCAGAAAGTGCTGTTCACAGCTTAATCTCATTTGGTGCTCAAGAGTTTCAGCTCTAACTTGCCGTACATACTGAGGGAAAGACAATGTTTTCAGGGGGTATTTGGGGGCTTCCCCTATTGCCCAGTCACAGCATATTAGACTGTTGAATAAATTTTGTGATGTGGAGTTAAGGACGAAGTCTTTGGCGAGAACATCCGTAATGTAAAGAATCACCAATTTTTAAAAACTTTTGCCATGGTCAGAAATTAATCTTTCTAAGTCATAGAGCTTTTCAGCTTGGTTATCAGTCTCTAGCTTAAACCCAACTCAGCAATACTAAATACTTTACTCCAATTAGCAGCCTTGACCCTTGAAAGTACATGTACATCATACCTGACCTAATATTGGCTTTTATGATGTGATAATCATGAGGCACAAGAAAGTGAATTTGTCTGACTGAAGCTGAGAGCTGAGAGCCAATGTGACACCATGTTGCAAAGAACAAGGTACCCTTCTGTATCGTTTTACCTTTTCTACTTGTGTAAAAGGCATTTCCATCCATATCATTTACTAAACACAGTTCCAACTAGCTACACTTTAATTAACACTCTCCAGTGCCATCTAACATCCTAGGAGATTGTCTTTTTTTCTTCTTTCTTTTAAATCATGATGTTCAAAATTAATGTGCTAGGAAATTTCAGTTCTCTTATTGCTATTGTTCTCCATCCTGGGTGCTGAACATAGTGTCTGGTATAACTTTACTACTGCTTAATATTGAAGATACTGTATTCAAAGTTGTACTTGATTAATAGCACTTATCATCTAGCAACAGTTAACTGATTACACTATGCTGACATCTCTATCAATCTCAGCCTTAGGCATTATATAAGAGTGATTCTAACCGTGTACCTGGAGTGGTCAAGAAAATAAACATTTAACAATTGGGTCACATCAGAATGACAATAACCCTGACCTAGATTACGAGTTGTGTTTTTACATTTAAGTCGTTAGGCTTATTGGCACTGTCGCCGGGCTGGCATCTACTATCCATTGGCACAGCGGATTTATGGGTCTGGCGCCGCAGCCGAGGGCCATTCCCCCCCTGAGCAGCCCCGGGATCGAGGAATATGGGCATGAGGAGTGCCAGGGAGGGCGAGCGCGAGGGCACAGGGGGGAGGAGAGAGCGAGGAGGGAGCCCGCCCGGCGCAGCAGCCATTCCTCACTCACCGAACATCCTGAGGTGCATGTTGGTCGGCGGGTTGAAGGAGCCGCACGCCAGCAGCACCACGCGATGGGAGCCCGTCATCGTGTGCGGCTCCCGTCCACGGCTCGAGACGCAGGAGGCGACGACGGCGATCACCCGAAGGCCTATCGACTAGCGCCGCCACGGTGACGCAACGCCACTTTTGTTGACATTTTGCCCTTGCGACTCCCTGCCTCCACACCTTGTACAGATGACGGCCCTTGGCGGGGTGGCCCTTACTCGCAGCGCTTCGGGGCTTTTCTCGCCAGGAAAAATACCATAATTTATTTACAAAGGGAGACACTCGCTGCTGGCCAGGGTTGGAGACGAGTTTAAATACATGGGTACGCGCGCAGGTTTCACAGCCACCCGGCGCCCCGCCCGTGATGTCATCGCTTGGAAATAGGTGTTGCGTGAGGTTATTTCACGTGATATTCTCATGTTATAAATAAATATGGCTGTATTCATCCTGTTATGACGCAGGTGTTATCGGTTATTATTTCGTGAGTAAATGCTAGCAATATATTCTGCTCTGTGTATATATATATAAACTAAACTATTTTTTTCCGTGCAACTTTTGAGCACCTGTACTGTACATGTTTATACGGTTCGTTAGTTCATACATGTAAACCGATAACATGACCATCAACATGTTATGTAAGCGCCCTTTGATGTTCACACATTAAGTATTGATGAGTTACCGCTGTATTCTGATATATCTATATATTTATGTGCATTTCACGATTAGTATAAGTCGAATGTGGCAGTGGAGATGCATTAAGTGGAAATAACATTGAGGGAAATATGAATGACTCATGTATACTTCAAAATATCGTTTATTCAACATTAATTCGTGAGTTTGAATGTTATTTGTGGCCGTTATGCGAAATATTCCTTTCTCTCTCTCTCTCTCTTTCTCTTTCTCTCTCTCTCTCTCTCTCTCTCTCTCTCTCTCTCTCTCTCTCTCTCTCTCTCTCTCTCTCTCTCTCTCTCTCTCTCTCCTCTCTCTCTCTCTCTCTCTTCTCTTCTCTCTCTCTCTTCTCTCTCTCTCTCTCTCTCTCTCTCTCTCTCTCTCTCTCTCTCTCTCTCTCTCTCTCTCTCTCTCTCTCTCTCTCTTCTCTCCTTCTCTCTCTCTCTCCTCCTTTTCTCTTCCTCTTTCCTCCCTCTCCCCTCTTTCCTGCCTCTCCCTCCTCTCTCTCTCTCTCTCCTCTCTCTCTCTCTCTCTCTCTTCTCTCTCTTCTCTCTCTCTCTCTCCCTCCCTCCCTCTCTCCTCCTCCTCTTCCTCTTTCCCTCCCTCTCTCTTTCCTCCCTCTCCCCTCTTTCTCCCTCTCTCTTCCCTCCACTCCTCTCTCTCCTCCATCTCCCTCCATCTCTCCCTCTCTCTCTCTCTCTCTCTCTCTCTCTCTCTCTCTCTCTCTCTCTCTCTCTCTCTCTCTCTCTCTCTCTCTCTCTCTCTCTCTCTCTCTCTCTCTCTCTTCTCTCTCTCTCTCTATCAATATATATATATATATGTGTGTTGTGTGTGTCTATATATCTATCTATCTATATTTCTATCTATATCTATTATCTATCTTCTATCTATTATCTATTATATATATATATATATATATATATATATATAAGGTGTAAGAATGCAATGTAATATATGTAAATGCATATATGCTTCAAGTAATCGCGTATGCACGGCCCGCGCCACACGCACATGCGCTTGCATACGTACACGCACGTACGCACGGCCATGCACACGCGCGCCTGAACGCAAACGCCAACGCAGACCCTCACGTACGTAGACATGCAAGTTTTGATAGGTATGTATGCATAAACACACGCACACACACACAACACACAACACAGCACATATATATATTATATATATATATATATATATATATATATGTGTGATGTGTATATGTGTGTGTGTGTGTTGTGTGTGTTGTGTGTGTGAGAGAGAGAGAGAGGAGAGGAGAGAGAGAGAGAGAGAGAGAGAGAGAGAGAAGAGAGAGCGAGAGAGTGGGGGGAGTGTATTTATGCATTCATACAGAACATACATATAATATATTATATATATATAATATATATATTTATCCACACACACACACACACACACACATACACACACTAACATATACACACACACATCATACACATCATACTTATATATATGTATATATTATATAATATATATATATATAATATATAATAATATATTTATAGTGTGTCATGATGTGTGTCTATATATATATGTACATATATACACACATTATATATATATATATATATATATATATAATATATATATTATTATATATATATATATTATTATATATACATATATATAATATATTATACATATATAATATATATATATATATATATATATATATATATTATATATATATACATATATATAATATATATATATATATATATATATATATATATTATATATATATATATATATATATATATGATATATATATATGATATGAAGTGCTAGCGGTGCGATTCTCTTCGTTGATTGAAACCGCGAGTTCGCCGTGACGTCACGACCGGATCCTGTTGCATGTGAAATTTTCCTTTCACCTCTGAACTGCAGTCTGCTATTGATCTTGCTTGAATTCTCCCTTCTTGACCTTGTGAGAGATGCGCTGTTTAAGTTTCGCAATGTTTAGCAATTTTGATGCATTATGGGTCATTACGGGGTAATGAATTATATTACAAAACAAATCTTTCAGGTGATGCAGGTTATCTCGCTGGGATCGTACGACTGGTCTCAAGATAACATCTCTCTCAATTACCTGTGTTATTACTCCGCCTCGTGTGTGATTTATGCATTCAATTACCCCATTCAAGTTCACATTTACCATACCTTATTACTATATATAATAAATAATTCACATTTTTATTTTTAGAAGACCCCAAGATTTTGAATTTTTATTTTCAATCGTAGGATAGTAACCATTCCTCCGTTTTAGCTACAGTTATGGTAACCATAATAACAATGCTATCGAATTCGCTACCTCGGTTGCTAAAATAAAGAAAGCTAAACCTCAAATGTTTCTCCCAAATAACTGCAAACAATAGAGAAGCACCATTATTTCGAAATGCCAATTACAAGGTATACCAGAGCAGAACCTCAACAAAGCGAAGGAGAAAGGAATATAAAGCCGAATATAGAACCTCAACAAAGCGAAGGAGAAAGGAATATAAAGCCGAATATAAAGGAATATAAAGAAATAAGAAATATAAGGAATATAAAGGCCCAAGAAACGTGAACGGCGAAGACACAACACTTGTACATCACCAGCAGCCGAGTGGAGCTCCCTTACACCCATTCACACATGCAGATCACACGGACACCTAAGCTTTAAAAGGCTGAGCGCTCTCTTCGTACCCTAAGCTAAGATGTCCCTTGACAGATCTGATTAAGGGTCCTTTTGTTGGGATAGCCGAGGGGGACATCCGTCTAGGCTTGGGCTTTTTAGGGCTCATCTGCATTTTAATGCATGCCTCTCGCGCTGCTCTGCGAAAATTTCGGTGTATATATATATATATATATATATATATATATATATATATATATAGTATATATATATATATATATATATATATATATATACATATATATATATATACATACATATATATGCATATACATAAACATATACATATACGTCTATATACATATATGTGTGTATATGTGTGTGTGTGTGTGTGTGTGTGTGTGCCCATAACATATGTGTCTTACTTATATGACCACTTTCCAACTTGCAACAGATGTATTGCCTGTAAAAAAAAAAAAAGCCCAACTAGGTTGCCTCTGTCGCATAAGAATCCATGTATCGTACACTGGTATAATAGCAAACAAATAATAGTAGACAATAAAATGTGTGGCTGTAGGCAACATGTAGATACGTACATATTCAAATACATCAAGGTAAGTGTCCTGGAAAAAGCATTGCCTTGATAAATGTTCCGCCATAACAAAGAACGCAGGGACAAAGTGCGCGGAAAATGAACCACTTCTCCTGCGACGAAGCACGGACGGAAGTAAGTGGGGGGGGGGGGGTGTCCTATAACGGCAAAGATGTCTCGCGTGAAGTCATCTTCCCCCCTTCGCGATGTCACCGAGCGAGACGTCAGCTGATTCCCGCTGTCTGAAGGGGACTTGACCTCTGACCTTTCCCGAGTGTTGGGGTTGGCGAAAAATGTTGACGGAAAATAATGATGGATGGGTGATTCTGATGAGTAAATGTATTGTGATAATAATAGTGATCACGTGGATAAACATGAGGCGAGGAAGATTTTGTTGAACAATGACTAATAAGATTGTTCAGCAATTATAAAAGGACAGAGATTGATAAAGAACAAGTTCACTCGCTCACAGGAGAGGATACATTACCGTCAACGTTGTTGCTTAAAGGTCAGTTACTGCTCACTGAAGATCTAAAAGACGGTATTTACTGCAACGGCTCGTTATACTTACGATCCCTCGATTAAACATTAATTTCTTCTCGAAGTGATGATTACCTCGCTCCCGGCTTAATAAGCATCATCAACGGGGCTAAGGGGAGAAAAATCACTATAATTAAGGGGAAAGTGAAAGATTTTGCTCAATATAAACATAAAGGGTTCAAGCATTCCAAGCGCTTGGTTTTAAAAAAATCGACCCAGCTCCTCTAACTTTATATACATACATACGAATGTATACACACACACAAACACATATATGTGTATATATGTATGTATGTGTATATATGCATACATATATGTATGTATGTGTGTATGTGTGTGTGGTGTGTGTGTGTGTGTGTGTGTGTGTGTGTGTGTGTGTGTGTGAATGTGTGTGTGTGTGTGTGTGTGTTGTGTGTGTGTGTGTGTGTGTGTGTGTGTGTGTGTGTGCGTGTGTGTGTGTGTGTGTGTGGCTGTGTACGTGAACGCGGGCGTGTGTTCATATATATTTATGTGCGTGTGAGCTTTGTCAATAGAACGGAAATAGATACTGACCTGATTCCTTTTGTAGTGAAGTTGCAGTGTCAGGAAAACACATTATTTTTCAGCGAGACACTATGGCTTTGTACAATATCATAGAGTGATTCTTGTTAGGTCAAAAATATCACACGTATGCACAAATATGGAGGTAATGCCCACACACTCCAAACACACACACACACACACACACAAACAACACACACACACACACACAAACAAACAAACACACAACACACACACACACACACACACACACACACACACACACACACACACACACACACACACAACACACAAACACACACACACACACACACATATACAAACACACAAAACACACACACACAACACACACACACACACACACACAACAAACAAACAAACAAACAAACACACACACACAAACACACACACACACACAAACACATACACACAATAAGACGATGTTTATACTCTATGATTGGAATTTACGATGATATGGACTACATTGCAGAATACAGTCGGGAGGGAGTTTCGTTCCAGGAAATACAGATGCTATTACAGTGCTTACAAGAACGATTACGCGAACGCTGCGGGCGGTGATCGTCTTGCAGTTCAACATAAATGCAAGTTGTAGCATGAAAGTAAAGTAATGATAATAAACAAAACATTTAGGAGGAAATACGTTCCTACTCCATAAGCAGAAGTGTACAATGATAAAAGAAAAGATACGAAAAACACTAAAAATCAAATGTAAAAAAAGGATACAAGAATGATTATCAAAAATAAATAGAGATAAATAAATATAAGATCATGCAAGGTACTAGTAAACACATTGAATCAAACATTACAAAAAAAAAAAAAAAACTATATTCAAAATTACAAAGATTATTTGAACAAAATTACAAAGATTATTTAAACAAAATTACAAAGATTATTTTTTTTTAATTACAAAAAAATATTTTTCTTAAATTACAAAGATTATTTAAACAAAATTACAAAGATTATTTATACAAAATTACAAAGATTATTTAAACAAAATTACCCCCCCCAAAAAAAAAAAAAAAAAAAATCTAGAGATACGAGAATGAATGAATAAATGCTACGAACGATCGAAAATGAATAAAACGATGGAAAAAAGACAAGCTGAATAGAAAGACGAAACAAAAATATGGATGAAAATATAATCAACAAATTATACACAAGAAAAGATAAATAAATAAACTAAATATATCCATATCCAAAATCCAATGTAAAACAATTATCAAAACATGTGTACGTATCCCCCAAATAATGTCTAACAAAGATTTTTTTTTTCTTTTTTTGATGGCCTGAGGGTTAGGTGCTGCCGCCCAAGGTTTAAAGAATTTCTCAAGACTTAGCTGCTGACGACGCGATGCAATGACACTGGACGATGGAGTGTGGTAGGGGGGAGGGGGGGAGGGGGGAGGAGGAGGAGGAGGAGGAGGAGGGGAGGAGGAGGAGGAGGAAGGAGGGGAGGAGGAGGAGGAGTAGGAGGGGAGAGGGGAAGGAGAAGGAGGAAAGTGTAACGAAAATCATTACCTTGATATTCGACAAGTTTGTTAAAATTGTGCGAGACCTAAAGAATATTTATTATACGGACATGCATATATACAGGTATGAATGCATGTCTCTCTGTCTTGACATGCATATCTACCGGATAGATAGAGGGATAAAGTAATATCTATCAGACAGATAGACAGATATGCATATTTCTGTGTATAAGCATGTCCGAATATATGAATCTGCTGTTTTTTCTGGAATTTGCATGATATTTTCAGCTGTATATTGGTTGTCGTTTCCTCTTTAGTGAATATTTATATGAAATTGATCTATATAAGTCCCGACGACACAGATAATCCAAGATGGAGGGAGGGGGGGGGGGGTAAGGAGTAACGGTATTTATGACATATTTACGTCTCATTCAATAACTCCCAAATTCGGAAGATTTTATCAGACAGGTGAAATAAGAAAGATACGCCCATTTTTTTCTCTCTTTCCTATGTCAGACTTTACTATACCGTCAGCTTGGTAAACAGCATTTAGCTACTGACGTCTAAATGTACTTAAAAATAACGTTATGTTGCCTGGAAATACTGTGAACGAAACACAACGTCAACAAATGTAGTCTAGGGATTCGTATCGTCTGCGGACTCCGATAACCACATCGCATCACTTCCATGACAACACCAAAACGTTTTTCCTTCTTATTTCTTCTCATCCGTATGCACCCGGGCTAATGTGTAGGTAGGAGGCTACTTAACAACAGCACGCACTCGACGTCGTGCTTAATGGCCGTGGCTCAGGACGAGGAGGGGTTTTAAGTGGATTTCTTTTTCTTGGCGTCGACAGTGTCCAGCAGAAGGTCACGATCCAGTGTCATCTCACAAAGACGTACATGTGGGAATTGTTATTTTATGAACACTGGAAGAAAAAAAAATAATGATGTGACGAGAGCTCTTCCTATTTTGAATTCTTTGTTACTGTCAGGGCATTATACTGGAGATTATTGATTAAGCACAAGCCACGGAGGCCTACTTCGCCGATCACTACGTAAATCCCAGTAATAAAACCCAAAGTCATTGTCAACCACGAGGTCTTTCGCTAATTGCTTGTTTATGACTTGAAGACTGATCACACGCATCGCTCATTGTCTATCCACGCATGCGCAGTGTCAGCCCCGAAGACGCGTGGACAGAACACGACGAATGAGTTGGTAAACAAACCTCGTAGCGTCATGGACATAACTGCGTCGGTGAGTCATGGCAGTGATGATGGAAATGATGGTTGGTCATTATTATACTAATAATGATAAGGATGATGATAATGATAATGATACCACTAATAAATTATAATAATTATCAACGGTAATGATTATAATGATAATAATTATTAACATCATTAGCATTATTATTGCTGTTGTTATCATTTTTATTATCATCATTATTATTATTACTATTATTATTGTCATTATCATTATCATTATTGTTATTATCATCATTATTGTTATTATTACTATTTTTATAGTTATTATAATTTTTGTTATTATCATTATCATTACTACTACTATATTATTATGTTACAATTATTATCAAAATTATGATCATATCGTTATTATCATTATCATTATCGTTATCATTATCATCAAAATTTTAATGCAATTATTACTATTGTCATTATGATAATTATTTTCATTATCATTATAATTACTGCCATCATCATCGGTATTACTATTATCGTTACACTTATATTATATATAAGGATATTATTAATATTAATTTAACATTAACGATATTAATCAAGGATATTATTATCATTATCAATGACGATAATAATTAAGGATATCATTATCATTACCATCATTACGAATAACAACTAAGGATATTATCATTATCACTGAGGATAATAATTAAGGATATTATCATTATCCTTACCATCGTTATCATTGACGATAATAATTAAGGATGTTATTATCATTATCACTGACGATAATAATTAAGGATATCATTATCATTATCATTGACGATAATAATTAAAGATATTATTATCATTATCACTGACGATAATAATTAAGGATATTATTATCATTATCATTGACGATAATAATTAAGGATTTTATCATCATTATCACTGACGATAATAATTAAGGATGTCATCATTATCACTGACGATAATCAAGACGATGATAATTAAGGATATTATTATCATTATCATTGACGATAATGATTAAGGATATTATCATTATCATCATTACGAATAACAACTAAGGATATTATTATCATGATCATTGACTATCATTATCATTGACGATAATAATTAAGGATATTATTATCATTATCACTGACGATAATAATTAAGGATATTATCATTAGCATCATTAAGGATAATGACACTCAAGGGGCCGGATAAGCGTTGCAGAAGGGCGTCTCATATCCACATTGAGCACAGTATCAGTGCACTCCGTAACCTCTGACCCCTGCAACATCCTCCGACCCGCAGAGATCGACGGTGGGCGTGACGAGAGCGAAGGCGAAGTCTCGTAAAATTAATGCTCGTTCGGGCGTCCCACGATGAAAGAACTAAAGGTGTCTCGTACGATGAAGGTACAAAATAAAGGTGTCTTCGTACGATCGACGATGAAGGTACAAAATAAAGACGATGAAGGTACAAAATAAAGGTGTCTCGTTCGGGTGTCCCACGATGAAGGTACAAAATAAAGGTGTCTCGTTCGGGTGTCCCACGATGAAGGTACAAAATAAAGGTGTCTCGTTCGGGCGTCCCACGATGAAGGTACAAAATAAAGGTGTCTAGCTCGATTTCCGTCTTCAAAAGAGACCCGAATCTTGATCTAATAACTCGTAGAATTTTGGAATATTCAGATTGGGGACAAAGATAAAGAGAGTTAGGTGATATTCCGAAGTCAGATAAGGACAAAGATAAAGAGAGTTAGGTGATATTCCGAAGTCAGATAAGGACAAAGATAAAGAGAGTTAGGTGATATTCCGAAGTCAGACAAGGACAAAGATAAAGAGAGTTAGGTGATATTCCGAAGTCAGATAAGGACAAAGATAAAGAGAGTTAGGTGATATTCCGAAGTCATAAGGACAAAGATAAAGAGAGTTAGGTGATATTCCGAAGTCAGATAAGGACAAAGATAAAGA